GCCAGATAAATCGCATTCTAAACTACTGCAGAACTAGCCAATGATCTGGCTGAAATCTTATGGATTATCTTTGAGAAATCCTGAAGAATCAGTGAAATGAGTCAGATGACTACAGGAGAGCAATTGTTTCTATCAGTAAAAAAGGAGGAAAGCAATCATCAATCAGCAAATTAGTCAGCCTAACATTAACCCCTAGGGAAATTACAGAGTAAATAATAAAAAGATTTATAAATGCTTTAAAAACTATGTGGAAATTACCAGAAATAACGTTCCATACCATCAGGGTGAATTTGTTAGGAATAAGTTTTGCCAGATTAGTTCTATGTCATTTGCTGACAAAAATTGCTGGCTAAAAATTGCTAGATTGTGGGAAGGCTATGGATTTAATATAACTTGATTTCAGTTCTGGATTTGACAAAATACTTTATGTCATGTAGATTAGCGAGCTTGTTAACTATGGAGTAGATGGGGTAGTTACTGCTATCTTTTATCAACTCTCAATTTTTATATTTTTTGTCTATCTTCAGAGAGTAGATGATCATCTGTCAGAAATGTCCTAGTAAACCCTGAACTGAATAGGAGTTTGGTTTGGATAATTTCTGAGGTACATTTCAGTTCAAATTCTGTGATCTTACCTCAAGAATTGAACAAGGCAATCTTTATTTCATTTTGCCAACCAAGATCTAATCTAGTCTGAAAATCTGCCTAACCTGGCCAGTTTTAGTTTAAAATAGATTTTCACTGGCAGACAGTAGCCCTCTAAGAAACAAAACTTTTGCATCTCCTGTCACCTGATTACTTCAACCAGAGATGGCTGGGACTGACCCTAGAGCCATCTACCTGCCACTCCACAGATTCAGAATGATAATTATGCGTCTTGGAATGAGTTTCAAGCAGTGTTCCAGTCTATTCAGACAAATTAGGTCAGCTTCAGCAAAATCGCCAGTGATGGCCTCCTTTAATCCAGCTCTTCCCACCTTGTAGTTATATGGTGAAAACATAAACAAGAGACTGTAGTTGACATTCTCAAGGCTACATACCTTGTGATCCATCAAGCTTAAACAACTTATCAGAATGCCAAACATTTCTAATTTCTGCTACCTCATCTGTTCCCCCAGGCACCTAACAGAACCAGCTGAAGAAGATTTTCAAACTCTCTTTTGTCTGTTAGTGACTGCAGTTTTCTGGAATAAAAATCCCTAAATTTCCATTTTACAGAAAGGCATGGTGCTTGGTTTTTCTTTCTCTGCACTTTTTTGTGAGGATATGAAGTTGCTGGGGTATGTATGAGGTTTTGTACCTGCACCTCAATTGCAAGGGCTGCACCTAAAGATTCTTGCATCTCTAGAAACACTACAGTCTTGATAGGAAAGAAGTAACATATACTAAGAGAAGCCACATTGCTGTAGCTGCCATGGTGCAGCATGTTTCAGTGTATCTAGTTTTTTTTTTTTAAATTCTATTATAAATGCCAGCTTATTCTCAGTAAGTCTGACTTTCCTTTATCTATAGGGGATTTTTTCTTACTTGTACAGAAATATTATGAATCCTCAAATTAGGTAACATTTTTAAAAAGTGGGAGAATTTATCTGAGCTGTTAAGACATTGCCTTAAATTATTACACTAACTGAATACAGAAGGGAATGAATGAGTTAACACACTAAATGATCTGTGAATCAGAGTTTGGTACGTAAAGTTCTAGATTTCTGGAACCTAAATCTTCCTTCCCACCTCTAGGAATGAGATTAGGACTCCTCCAGAAGATTTACAGAACACCATCTCTTCCCCCTGGCTGTATTGGCTGGGGCTACCAAGGACCATAAATCTGGAGACCTGAGACAGAGGCAACCAAGGTAGGACCAACAATAGAAACAGCAAGTTTCAGAGTGTTTTCTCCAAGAATTATACATGAATTTAGCAGCCAGAAAAGCTCTATCTAAACAGGAAAAAGTTATCCCTTTCTTTCCATCACGATTCATTTTTTGAGAATAACATCATTTCCTCTTGCTTCTGGTTCTCAAAGTGTATTATTAATAGATGTAGTAAAGCAAACAATTGCTTACCTGGAAGGAAAAAAATGCATAGTCTCTGCTATGAATAGCTAGCTGACCTTTTCTCTTTGAAATAAGTATGCATGACATGACTACAGCCCTCTGTCCATTTAAAGAAGTAAAAAATATTTTTATGCATTACTAAACCTTAATCTGCAAGGCAATCAAACCAGTCAGTCCTAGAAGAGATCAACCCTGACTGCTTTTTAGAAGGCCAGATCCTGAAGATGAAACTGAAATACTTTGGCCACTTAATGAGAAGGAAGGACTCACTGGAGAAGAGCCTAATGCTGGGAACGATTGAGGGCAAAAGAAGAAGGGAACGGCAGAGAATGTGGTGGCTGGATGGAGTCACTGAAGCAGTCGGCGTGAGCTTAAATGGTCTCCGGGGGATGGTAGAGGACAGGAAGACCTGGAGGAAAGTTGTCCATGGGATCATGATGGGTCAGACATGACTTCACAACTAACAACAACAACAAGCCTTAATCAGGGACACGGTGGCTCAGTGGCTAAGATGCTGAGCTAAGATGCTGAGCTAAAAAATGCAAGTAGAAAAATAGGGACCACTTTGATGGGAAGGTAACAGCACTCCATGCGTCTTTGGCATTTAGTCATGCCAGCCACATGACCACGGAGACATTTTCAGACAGCGCTGGCTCTTCGGCTTAGAAATGGAGATGAGCACCATCCCTAGAGCCGGAAATGACTAGCACGCATGTGCGGGGGAACCTTTACCTTTACCTTTAAGCCTTAATCAACACAAGTCTAAATATCCTACTGTTCAAAGTGCTACTGATTCCAAAGTAATTGAAAGGCAAGTTGGAGGTGTGGCAATTTGGGAAATATTCAGCCCCCCCCTAAATGTTTTAAGCACCAGCTATGTTAAAGAGATCCCCATTCCTTGAGCTGGCAGAAAACTGTACAGGTAATCCTGAAGTTACAATCATTATTGAGACTGGAATTTTCATTGCTCAGTGATACAGCTGTAAACTGTGACATCATGTGACCATATTGATGGCAATCCTAGCATTCCTATTGCCATCCTTAACTGAACCCCTTCATTCGTTAACCAAGGTCCTATCCCAATCTAAGCCATTCTGGGCTTAGTCCCTCTCAGCTCCAAACCTCGATTTTTCAAAAGTAAGGTACTGACTTTCCTTCAATTCCTGCCAACTGTCTATTCCCCCCCCCCCGCCCTGTCTCTGCTCTTTTGGCCATCCTCCTGCACTCTGCCTTGTAGGGTGGCAAGTAGCCCCAGAACCACCCACCTCTGGAGATGCTTACCACGCTGCAGATCAATGGTTTCTTGGCATGCCATAGTTCCGGGGCTGCAAAAAGCCCTTGAGTTGCAGCACAGTGAAGCCCTTTGCCGCATGAAGCCCAACCCTGGATGGACGTGTCAGTGCATCACAAAGGCAAAGTTGCATCCATGCCAGCCTAATCCCAGTCCCCCTCACGACCCTGCCCGTGACCACCCAGTTGACCTTTGCCATCTTCTTGCTCTCGTTGCTAATGGGGTATCCCCTGTCTGGCTCTGTGCAAGGCAGCTGCTGGCCATGTGAGGCCATCTTCTGCAAATCTCATAAAGAAATCACCATGTGCAACCTAGGGAAGAAAGTCTTGTAGGGCCAGCACTTGCCTCTCCAAGAGCCAGTCTGGGGACACCTTGTCGGCAGCGGGATCAACTAGGACAGCAAGACCCATGGAGTAGAGGGGGGCAAAAGGACAGGAGAGAGACAGGCAAGCCAGGGAATGAAGTGCCCCTTTGGTTGTAAGTATGGGTGGGCTACCAGGCACCCAAAATTTGAACACATGACCATGGAGGTACTGTATGTGCTGTAACTTCAGGAGCCAGTTACAGTTCATTCTGTGCCGCCGTAACTTTGAACAGGTGCTGAATAAATGGTTGCAAGTAAAGTACTACTTGTGCAGTATCAACATGCAACTTGCTGTCCCTATTGATCATTCCTTGCCTTTTGTCTGTTTCAGGTAATTAAAGTAATGCGACTTCTTTTCAAAGTAGTCTAACTTTATATTCCTTGCGCCTGCTCTTTGAACCAAATTTGAGTTAAGGGGAGATAGGAGTGAATATACAGCTTTGAGACTTGTGCAGCTTAGAATGACTTAGGCCTGTCTCACTCCTGGGCTGGATAATGTTTCAAGGACGTAGCAGAGAAAAATGTTGCCAGAGCAACTTTATGTTCTTGGCTGGTACTAAGAGCTCCATTTGAATGTGTTTGGTTCAGTGCAATGTCCTACTGAGATCTTGCATATATTTTGCAGTCCTTTCCTATCGGTCATTTTTCTGATTATAATTCTGGATTCAAACATTTCCAACTGATGATACCACATTCATATTTGAGTACACTGAATAATTTGCTGCCCTTCATACAGATCTCCCAGATGGGTGTATAAGAAATGAGTTCTAGTTTATGAAAGCTGTTGCCACCATACATTTTGGTGCAATCTTTCTATGTTCTTCGACTAATATGGGGCATGAAAAAAGCACAAAAAAAATGGAAATTGCTTATTGAAGTACTTTGAATGGGTACAATTCTTGGTAAAAGTATTCAGAATTGTCAAAATCCCATACTGCCATCTAGAGGATAAGTTGTATCAAATCATGTTCCAGTTTCCATATTCAATAACATTAATCTAATATAATTCATTTAAAATACATTTTTTCCCCAAACAGGCTCCACATTGTTTTACTGAACCAATTTGACATGACACAAGTATAAATGTATTGTCTTCCATTTCAATGAAGATATTTATCATCACTAAATACTATTAGCAGTCATTTAAAAGGAATTAATAAGAAAATTTTAATTTACAGTTAAACCTTAGGAGATACTGTATATGTAGCATAAAAATCACTGAAAAACTGAAAAACTTTCCTCTTGTATCTTTACATTAGGATTTAGAAATAACATCCTTGCTTGTTTTTAATCTTTTAATTATACAAAATAAATATACATCTCATTATATAATATACAGCAAAAAACCAGTTAAGGTCATAATATAACAAAGTGAGAATGCAAAATACCTCGTAAATCACTATTATGAAAACAATATTTTTACCAAAACACTTTACAGTTTGAGAAAATTACTGAAAAGAGAAATTGCCATTTCGCTCCTTTGGATTTTTTGAGACATCCCAATTTGCACACTTACTTTTCCTAAAAATTGGAACAGCAGGAGAATGCCACTCAGAAATTACCAGTACCCATAGTAGATACTTCAGTACTCCAGCTAAACTCCTGTTGGTTTAAGATCATAACCCACCCTTCTATTATCAGGGTCCCCAACAAGGCATTTGGAAGGAGGCAATCTACTTCTGGGTTCTGGGCTCTTGGTGCCTACCAGATGCCCTGCCTCCCAGATTGTTTCTGTTAAACAAAACTAGTTTTACAATGGAAAGCCAGCATGCTGGAAATCAAAGGGCCAGCTCCTCTCATTCTATGCTACAACTTAAAAATCCAGCAGGATTTGACCTCTGTATCCTTTCACTACAGGGATGTTCTCCTACCCTGGATAAGACAAAAAGTTCTGTTCTACATGTCTGGCAAAAATGCTGAGTAAACTAGCATTGCTGGAACAAATGCTCTATTTCAGGGGTGTCAAACTCAAGGCCCGCGGGGTGGTTAGATCTGGCCTGAGGGGCTGCCCTGGAAACAGCAAAGGCCCGTCCCACGGTGCTCCCGAGCTCTATTTTTGCTGGCAGAGAGTTACAGGAGGCCGTCCCAGCCGAAAACGGAGATTGGGAGCCCGTTTTTGCTGGCAGAGCACTTGAGCCATCACAGGAGCAAGTGACATCAAGCTGGCCATGCCCACCCCGGGCCGAGGTCAAACACAATTCTGATGCGGCCCTCAATGAAATTGACTTTGACACCCCTGCTCTATTTCAATTAACTGGGTTTCCATGCAGGTTGTTTAGGAAAGTCACTTCTAATGTGAGAAAGGGAACAGATTGCTTCTTGATGGAATGAATATTATTTTCCTCTCATCTCCAGCTCTCTCAGCTGGACTATTCTGTACTTTCTTCAACAGCCAATTTAACTTTTGCATTTTAGAGAGAGAAAAAGAGCACATTACCACATTCTAGCTATTCTTTTCACAGTGCACTAACGGAACTTGTGCTTTCTAATCACTCATAACAAAGCTACCAGAAATATTTAAGACTTTCTTTGAGATAAAAATGCGTATCAGTCATTATAACCCATGACATCTGTTGGAAATGCATAATGCCTCTAATACCAGTTAACTAGTCATGTATTTTGTATTAACGGGACAAGAATACTGTTTGGTATTAAACACTCAACATTTAAATTAATTCAGCCACATGTACATCTGGTATCTTCAAAAAAAATTAATTTGAATATTGTTTGAATGTTAGAAGAATCTGTCATTGTTGTGGTCTTCTATATTCAGGTTTTTAATCTCTTTAATATTTTCTTATTTGGGGGGAGTCTTATAAAAAACAAACTGAATTAAATTCTCATGCACACCTGTTCTGAGGTAGTTATTATGAACCAAATTCAAGAGGCTCACAAAATAGTTTTTTTAAAATAATATGTTTAAATATTTACTAACAGTTTAATATTATGTACAAAATGAAACTAAGAATAATAATATGTAAGAGGTGAAGTACTGGGTTTCACTCTACTAAGGACTAAATTGCTTAGCCACTGAGATAGTTGTACTTAAACCTTTCTATTCCATTCAAAATAAATATTGTTGGAAGGCCCTGCCTCAGTGCCTCAGACTAGTGAAATACTTTGAACAACCTTTCTCCAATTTGGCTGGAGTTATGGCAGTTGCAATCCAACAAATCTGGACAGCTAAAGGAAGTCTGCAGCAGAACAGCATGTTGGGATATCCTATGCACATGACAAAAACACACACAGAAGACAAGGGAAGAACATGCAATGATGCAATCCTCCTTGGTAAGTACTTAATTTACAGGGAATAACTGAGCCAAAAAAAACATCTTGATGGAAAGTGACCTGCTCAGTCAGATTTCAAAACATCGCTCTTGAGAAGAAATATGTATGCAAAAATAAAACACAGATCTGCCTGAAAAAATGTACATTGAAAAAGTTCATCCATTCCATATTTCAATTATCACTCCCTGCAAGCTTTCAGGATAAGTATGCAAGCTACCCTGCACCTCATCTTGTACACCAAGCACTCTTGTGACCCTGTTTTTTTGAGTGGAATATAAACAAACCTCTCCATGAACAGGAAGTCTAAAAAGGATGGTCCCTCAAGACAGGAAGGCATTGAATATCTTGAATTGAATTTGGCACAAATCTGCAGAGGCTGATTGCTCAATGCACAAAGAAATACAGATACCGTATACATTACAAAACACTGGAGTGGGGGGAGCCATGATTGTATCTTAGCTCCTAATAAAACTAAGTCTCTATTAGAGTGTTTGTCAAGCTTAGCAACTTTAAGATGTGTGGAGTTCCAGGAATTCTGGGAGTTGGAGTCCACACTTCTTAAAGTTGTCAAGGTTGAAAAACTGCTCTACTGAATGTTTGCACAGATCTATCATGTTTCATGACCCTGTCTTATATTTTTTTGAACCCTGAAATAAGCGCTTGGCCTTATTGCCATGCGCTCAAAAGCCCAATTGGGCTTATTATCAGAGGATGTCTTATTTTGGGGGAAACAGGGTATTTATTATCTGAAACCCACAAAGCAGAGACTGCAATGTCCCCTGCCTACCCACCTTTTGGGCTGAGCAACATCAGCAACATTTACAGTTGCATTAAACTGCACCATTCTTTTATTTCAGGAGATATACATGTGCAACAGCCTTCCAAACTGTCTACAGGTAGTCCTCGATTTACAATAGTTCGTTTAGTGACCATTCAAAGTGACAATGGCACTGAAAATAGTGACATGACCATTTTTCACATTTATGACCATTGCAGCATCCCCATGGTCATGTGATTTACATTCGGATGCTTGACAACTGACTCATATTTATGACAGTTGTAGTGTCCTGGGGTCATGTGATCCCCTTTTGTGACTTTCTGACACACAAAGTCAATGTGGAAACCACATTCACTTAACAACCATGCTACTAATTTAACAGTGATTCACTTAATACAGTAAATGTGGAAGAAAAATCATAAAATGGGGCTAAACTCACTTAACAAATTTCTCACGTAACAACATAAATTTTGGGCTCAATTGTGGTTGTAAATTGAGGACAACCTGTATACCAATAATCCATAACTTGGCTTCCACAAATTAACAGTATAATAAGTAATCTGACATTTTACAGTGAAAAAAAATGAAGTCAAGTTTACCAGAGATATAACAGAGAACAAAGAAGTATCAATACTTCTCTGTGTCAAACTTGATTTCATTGAGGGCCGCATCAGGGTTGGGTTTGACCTCGGGGGTAGAGGAGCATGGCCAGCTGGACATCATTCCTGTTGGGGGTGCCTGTGGTGGCCCGAGTGCTCTGCCAGTGAAAACAGAGCTCGGGAGGGCTGTGCAGGCTGGTCCTTCACTGTTTCCAGGGCAGCCCTGCGGGCCAGATCTAAGCACCCCTTGAGTTTGACACCCCAGACCTAGCTCATTGGACAGAGTGAATGGCTCAGTATGATATCAGAACTGACAAATTCTCTGGAAAGTAAGCTTCCTTATGACATTGCATGGTGGCTAGGAACTACGTCTGTTAGGAATTGGTTATAACCTTCAATTCAAGGGCTGGGGGCTTCTTAATTTTCTTTTCCTTCATTATTTGGTGAGACAGTGTGCTTAAAAACCACTCCAAATCTTGATGGTCTTCTGGCCATCTCAAGTACTGCCCCCTTTGCAAAAAGATCCTGATTGGTTGATATTTCATAAGCTGATATTGAGAAAGAGATCCAGCTACTACCATTATAAGGCTATCCTCCAGTTCTGAGAAATACCTGCTCTGGGCAAAATTAAAGGCTTCCACACACCAGCCATCCTTGAGAAACTGTTTTGTGACCACACAAATTGTTTTCCTACAGTTCCAGACAGCATCATGAATACTACTGATATGATCCTCCCCAGGCAGGAAATCTCTGTCTTCAAAGCAAAGAGCAAATCTGTTCTTCTTAGAATACTGAGAATCTAGATGCTTTATCAAGGAACTTTGGACCCACTCGAAGTCTTTGCTGCTATAGCAAAGGTAAGCATCATAACTGTGTCCCTGTTGATCCAGTTCTCGTGGGAGCTCCTTCAGGAGGAATTGTGTGAGTGTTTTATACCAGAAGAAACAAACTCCCCTAAAACGAGTAAAAACAACTACTGCTACTAGAAACACAGTTATAGTAACACAGGCAAAAATGAAGACTGACAGCTGCAGAGGCTCCATGAGCTTGTATTCATTGCAATACTCTGTATCTAAGCTTTGGAGAGGAACACCAGCAAACTCTGGTGGTCCAGAACAAAATATGTCATTGCGTGAGCCATCTAAAGTAACATTGGTTTGGTTTAGCCACATAATAAAGTTGCTTAATAGGCAGGTACAGTAAAATGTGTTATGGGTGATATCCAGCTGGTCTAATGTTGCAAAGAGCTGAGGATCAGGGTAAAATAGCTGATTTGATGATAAATTAAGAACTTTCAGGTTTGTAGGAAAGGCATCTTGAGAAATGGAAGTCAACAGGTTGTTAGACAAGTTAAGTGTCTTGAGTGACATTAGTTCACTAAATATACCCTCTGGGATGAAAGTAAGGTAGTTGTTATTGAGATAGAGAATTTCCAGGCGGGAAAGTGCTTTGAACACATCCAAGCACAAACCCCTCTCCCATATAAGCTTTAGCATGTTGTCTCCAAGGTCCAAGTAAATCAACTGATTGTCTTTTGTTATGTCTTTATATTTGAAGCAATAGGATAAACGATTGTTTTTTAAAACAAGATACTCCAGGGCTGGAAATTGGAGAAGTTCATAGAGATCACCCAGATTCCCCAGTCTGTTTCCTTTTAAGTCAAGGACTGTGGCATTTATAAATTGTATTTTCCAATATGGTGTAGTCTGTATCCGGTTGTCACCTAACATAACATAGATGAGATTTGGGAGAGAATCTATTACTTTTAAAGCATTATCCACGAGATCCACGTATTGAAGCTTTGGTAAGGATTTGAATGGATCTCTATCAATCACTCCAATGTGATTATGTTTTAGATCTATATGAATTACATTAAGAAGCCCTTCAAAAGTGTCCTTATAGAGCTCACCAAGCAGATTGTTTGATAGGTATAGATACTGCAGATTCTGAAGACCAAGAAATGCTCTGTTCCAAATTTTGTTTATTTTATTATTGTTTAGATTCAGCAGCTTCAAATCATGGAGATATTGAAATATGTGCGGTTTAAGAGTCAAAATCCAGCCTTTTGATATATCGAGCAAGATGAGGCCACTGTCATTAAGACCTGCAAATGTATTAATATCAGGATCAGGAAGATTATTAAATCCAAATGATGTGCCCATACCATGAGAGGACATCTTCAACGCCAACAGTGGGGACCCTCTAATAGCTGCACAGAATCGCTGTGTTAGAGTTGTACCCCAGCCATTACTCCCAACGTCCAGTGTTTCTATGCTAACATTTTTTAAAGGATTCCCACAAGTAGCCCAATCCACAGATCTTGTATACAGTTTAGTAAAACGAAGAATAAAAAGTTTGAACCTTGCTCCTTGGAAATTATTAAGATCCCCTTCACAGATAGAAGCAATAGGGTTTGAATCCAAGTCTAGAATGTCCAAGGATGTCATGTTATAAAATACACTGTGAGGGCGAACGTGAGTGAGTCTATTATATTTGAGGTCCAGATATTCCAATGAAATCAAATCTCTGAGGTAATCCTCTTCCAGAATGGATCCATCAAGATTATTTTGATACAGTTTAAGAATACGGATTCTAAACAAGCCCACAAAAGCATCAGGGTCTAACACCATCATTATATTGCCACCCAAATCCAATTGTTGTAGGTTTGGCAAGTTCCTAAAAGCATCTTTTCCTACGGTTAAGGGAAAGCGTTTTTGTGATCCAAGGAATAAAATCTTTAGCTCCTCCCTCAGAGGGAAAGAGGTTGCATTAACTTCTTGGATGAAATTGAAGTTTAGGGATAGAATATCAACATGTTCAGGCACAGGTGGCACCCAAGTGAGATTGCAGAAATCATAGAAGGCTATCGTGTTTTCCACTGAACAGCTACGAATTGCAAGTGTTTCTCGGCACACAAGCACTGTGCCAACAGCAAATATCATGCAGAGATAAAACATCGTGCTCTCAATCTGTGCCTGGAGGAAAAGGATGGGGAAAAGAAAAGCATTATCATTTGCATTGGACCACAGAATCTGAATTAAACATAACAACACAGGTTATATAGAGATCAAAACTCATCTAATAACCTTTTTAAAAATGTTATTGCGAATTCATAAAAAAGGATGCCGTGTTAATGCTGATCCTGCTTGTTTTCCCTTGCATCTTGTTTACAAAATGGTGCTTTGGAAAATGGGGAAATTCTGTATTTTCATTACATCCTAAGAAGAACATTACTCAAAATGAAACTTATCAACATGGTGTTTTTCTATTTAACACAGAAATAAACTACATTGCAGCTACCAGTCACACTTTTTCTGTCATTTTTAGAGAAGAAGGCAGAGAAAAAAGATCTCAAACCATGGATGTGCCACTTTTTCGAGCTCACAGATTCATTTGTCTCTTGGGTGTTATGCTGGGGCCTCATTTCAAAAACAAAAAGGAAGACAAAACTACATTTGATTTACTTTCATTATAATGTAATTTGAATTAGATGCAGCAGTTATTCTCCCCACAAGTTTGATAATTTTTCTATTTCTGATGGACACAAAGTTGCACAAAATTATTGACTTTTCAAAGAGCCTGGAGATCTATATTCAGGACTTCCAGGTGTAACTTTTAACTCTGGAAACACAGATTTGGATCTGTATTTCAAGGTACAGTTGTTATTTGTTATGTCCAGGCTTTCTGAGCAAGTAATGCCTAGAAGAAAATGTAACTCCAGGATGTCCTAACTATAAATCACTCTGATTAATTTTCTAAGTTTGCAAAAAAGCCACTCAAGTCACCCAAGATTTATTAAATTGCATTTGGTTTCAGACAATTCACAAACAGTTGTACCTATCTAAACTTTATTTAATTATTTGGTGGATAAACAAGATAAATGGTCTTCCATGCAGACACCACAGAAGGTTATAAAGCTAAAAAAGCTTAGTAATTTAATAGAACACCACTAGGAAATTTGAGGGCTGAAGAGTAATTTGTGAAGTTATAAAAACATCCTAAAAGACAGGTGTCAAACTCACAGCGTCACGTTGCCATCACATGACATTTCATGACTTTTTTCTCATTCACGGAGCTGGGGTGGGAGTGGCTTGTGCGTGATGCATTTGGCCCACAGGCTGCCAGTTTGACACCCCTGTAAAAGAAGGCAACAACAACCCACTTCTATGCTATTGCCAAGAACATATTCATGGAGCCATTAAGGAGTCAGATTTTACTTGAGGGAAATATGGTGTGTGTGTGTTTTTTTAACTTTTGAGGGCATCTGCTTTTTTGTTTTGTTTCACATTTGAATAACAGAATAACAGAGTTGAAAGGGACAAAGTCTTCTAGTCCAATGCCCTGCTCAAGCAGGAAACCCTATGCTGTTTCAGACAAATGGTTGTCCAATCTCTACTTTAAAACCTCCAGTATTGGAGCATCCACAACTTACGGAGGCAAGTTGTTCCACTGATTAATTTGGTTCTTTCCTATCAAAGCATAATCTTAAGACTCCAGGGAGATTTCTAAATTCCCAATGCTTTCGCTGCTACCATCAAACCTTTCCTGATTTGAAAATAGTTTTCTTTTCTCTCCTGTTTCTTTCTCTTTATGAAATGTCATTTGTTGGAAGGTGGGGATAATCAGAATCACTTTTTATGTACAACATTTGACAGTAAATCAAATGAACTGTTATATAATTTGAAAACAGAATTTATTTATTTATTTATTTAATTAATTAAATTTGTATACCGCCCTACTCCCGAAGGACTCAGGGCGGTGAACAGCCATAAAATAAAACATAAAGATACAAAATTTAAAAAAGAGATAAAACCGATTAAATAAATTTGGCTGAACCATTTTAAAACCCCAATAATTTAAAACCAAATTTAAAATTCCCATTTAAAAGAGGAAAATTTAGGTCAGGCCAGCTTGATGAAATAGGAACGTCTTCAGCGCGCGACGGAAGGTACGCAGATCCGGGATCCTCCGTATCTCCGGGGGGAGCTCGTTCCAGATAGTAGGTGCCCCCACAGAGAAGGCTCTCCCCCTGTGGGCCGCCAGTCGACATTGTTTGGCCGACAGCACCCGGAGGAGCCCCTCTCTATGGGAGCATACCGGTCGGTGGGAGGCTATTGGTGGTAGCAGGCGGTCCCATAAATAAGCAGGTCCTAAGCCATGGAGTGCTCTGAAGGTGATAACCAAAACCTTGAAGCGCACTCGGAAGACCACCGGGAGCCAGTGCAGCTCGAGCAGGAGAGGCGTTACATGGGAGCGCCACGTTGCTCCCATCACCACCCGCGCGGCCGCACTCTGCGCCAGTTGGAGCCTCCGAGTGCTCCTCAAGGGGAGCCCCATGTAGAGAGTGTTACAATAGTCCAGACGGGAGGTGACGAGGGCATGAGTGACCGTGCGTAACGAGTCCTGATCCAGAAAGGGACGCAACTGGCGGATCAGGCAAACCTGATGAAAAATCTTCCCGGTCACGGCCGTCAAGTGCTCTTCTAAAGACAGCCGTGAATCCAGGAAGACACCCAAGTTGCGAGCCCTCTCCGTGGGGGCCAATGATTCGCCCCCAATAGTCAGCGATGGCACCAGAATTATTAATATGAATGCTTAAAATTATAATTTAGGACACCTTTAGCACTCTTCCCCTCTGGAATTAACTAGGAGGGGGTTCCTAATGACAGTTCTGATAACCCAGTCATCACAGAGCCTTTATCATATGTAATAATCATATATGATTATCTTGCACTCTCTCAGGCTCTGATACAAATGAAAAGTGCTTTGAGGCTTTCAGTTAATATTTCCAAATCTCCCTCCTTCAGCTCAGCCACACATTTGCATATACTAAGCCTCTTAGTATAGGCTCTTTCTGAGTGCCTTCTTATCCATCTTTATTTCCTTGTGCAAGTTAGACAAAGACTTGCACAACTCATGATAACAACAATCAAGCTTCATCCGTGAGATTTACCTCTGTATGCAGGAAGACACAATTTCTTAGCAGAGAAGATGAGGGGATAGAGAACTACTGTCTTGGATGCCTGTATGTGAGGTGGGGGACTGTTCTCATGACCTTCATTCCCCCTTCTCCATGGCTGTTCTTAACAAAACTTTGCCACCAGAAATACAATTCAAGATTCCTGATCCCCAATGACCATTCACACATGGAAGGTACGTATGGTTTGAAAGCCTTCCTAAAATGCCTTAGAGATTACAGCGCTCAAAAAACGAGTCTCCTCTCCTCCAAAAAAAACCCCTCTTATAAAAAGAGAAACATTTATATTCTGCTCAGCATGGGTAACTGACAGCTTAGCAGAAGACCACAAGAGATATCCAGTGGTATTGGAATACTACTAGCTTAATGCCCCACAGATGGGACTTGAGCAATCTGCAAATGGAGACAAGAGGCACACCATACATAGCCAGTTACTTCTGTTTGTTCAAAGTCTTCAATCTTTGCTTAAGCAACAAGATAATGAGTACAATGTGCCTTCCTTGCTGATAGTGTTGTAGTTCGAATCAGAATGACAGAAGAATGACATACTGTAGATCTACATTATATGCAGATCTAAGTATTTAAGAATTAAACACAGGACATTTCGAATCAAGGAGTGAGGTCATGCTATGTCACATCTGTGAGTTTCACTTTCTTCCACAGAGAGTTGTTTTCCCAGTTTCATGTTTTTTTCATCGTAGTGATGAAGAAATTTGCTTCACTAATATATTCACGAAGCAGGGGGTTGGACTAGAAGACCTCCAAGGTCCCTTCCAACTCTATTATTCTATTCTATATCTCAATTCATAATAATGCTAATCTCACCAGACTTTTTTTATTGAAATCCCCCCTTTTCCCTTTTAGATTTCAAATAGGAATAACCTGTTTAACACATATATCTGGGAACCTGCAAAGGGGGAAAAACATTCAAGAAGAACATGGAGTTGAAAATTGATCAGCAGGGAAAAGCTTAAGCAATCTTCACACTCTACCCACTATCTTGCTTAAAAACCATAATCTGATAAGATGAACTGGTTCGGTGACGTCATATCGTCACTGCTACCGGCTCGGGAGAACCGGGCTGAACCGGGAGGAACCCACCACTGCTGTAAACCACTTAGAGAGGGCTGTAAAGTACTGTGAAGTAATATATAAGTCTAAGTGTTATTGCTATCTAATCTATCTATCTATCTATCTATCTATCTATCTATCTATCTATCATCTATCTATCTATCATCTTATCATCTATCTACCATCTATATGCCACCGTTATTATTTTTATGTATAACTCATGGCAGCGAACATATCCAACACATCTTCCTCCTCCTATTTTCCCCACCAGAATAGCTTTTGAGGTGAGTTTAGCTAAGACAATCTCACAAACTCCCCCTTTCTAGACTGGTGCCTAGAACAAATTGGTTATTCTTTCATCTTGTAAAAATCTGTATTATGTTTTACCACTGTAATAATAATCTTTGATAAAAGAATTGTTATAAAAAGAAAATGGAAATATATTTTTGAGAAAGAGTATTCAACATAGGTCAACTATGATAAAAATTACACTTTTACCTTTACCTAATGCTAGCAAACTCATCTCAGCTGTCTTAAAGCAGTGGAAGTCAAAATCAAGCGAATACTGACCAGGGACTTAATATAAAAGTTGCAATATGGAAAAGCAAAGTCACTCAACAGTTCTTTTTAATCCCTTTCTAAATTGGCAGATGATTCGTAAACTGCTTCCGAGTTGCTTCTTGCTCACAAAATTGCTCTGATAATCTCAGAGAGGAACAGGCAGCCATTCAGGAGGATCAACAACTGGGAGTCAAAGGATTGCTTGAGATACTGTCAAGCAGTCAAAAATGTCACTCACACATCAGAGGGAAAGTGGCAAATAAAAGAAGATAGACTTGCCGTGGGATTGTTATAATGCACCAGAAAAAGGTTGAGACCTTTGACCTAACAGTGGTTATTAGCATAGAATTTCAGCAGAGCTTTTCTTTGAAGCTGTTACCAGTGATGCAGGGCTTATAAATTGTGGAGAAAAATACGTTGAGCTTTTTATACTCTTTGTCAAACCAACTTTTGCTGCCGTATCTTTGGTATGGTGCCTATCTATTTTATTTTTGTTGGTTAGAAATTCTGCAATCTCAGAATGGCTGTGTCATAATAGCCCAGGATGCAGTTTCATGAACCAGACATGGAACAAAATAGTGATTAATTGGAATAGATTGGTTCATGTGCTGCTTCTCCTGATGAGGCAAAACCAGAGGTGGCCTAAATACAAACAAAATTACGTGGGAAGCTTAAATTTTAAATTTAAAGCCAGTAGTATTATTGGATGGGAGGCAAACATTGTTTATTAGACCAAACTTTGATATTTTTTTTACCCAGAACAGAAGAAAGGTCTTCCAGACTGTCAATTGTTCACTGTTTTGCTTACAATAAATAGTTCCAATGAATTAGCCATTTGTGCTGGTTTAAACCTTGCCAAATTTATTTATTTAATAACAGTCTGGGAGACCTTTCTTCTGTTCCGGGTAAAACATTACATTTAATTACATTTAACATTCTTTGAAAGGCATGTCCTCAATGATTAAATGGCAGCTTTGATATTTTGCAAAAAAGGCCTTATACTTTGATCCCTTTCTAGCATTTTAGTTTCCCCCAATAATACTGCATCATTAGCAAACAGACAATTAAATGAGGCCATTTAATTTATTTATATTAAATAAAGTGACACCATTTTCCAAAACAATATCGTGATGTCATACACTTCAGCAGTTATACAGAGTTAAATATAGAACAATGTGTTTTAGGATTATAGCAAGCAGTATTATTTCTGAAGAACTACTCGATGTATAGTCCTGAAATTTAATCAGAAAGATTCACCAAAAGCTTAATTAATCCAAAATAAATGTCTCCAAGTGAGAGTTATAGTCCCAATGTATCTGGAGGGTATCACAGTGAGGAAAATTGGAAAGCTCATTCTTGCTTCATTTAAGAGAGACTCAAGGGATATGTCAATGCTTGCTAACTTTATTCATCTGTAAATAATTTGGCAATGCAGACAGCCATTCCTTCCATTTCTAGACAGGTGACAGACTGTCCGTCAAAGAAGTTCATTGGATTGTGCTAGGAATCAAACTCTTCTGAATTAATGCAGATATTTCAGCCCAAGGAACTCTGGTCCTAGCAAATATTTACCATTTGTCTTACATGAACAAAGAGATTGGGTTACAATAGCCTCTCAGCTCACAACATACTGTTGTAGACAACTGCTTTTTGTGGTTCTTCCCACTGTCTGCTCCTTCCTGAGGTTTTAATTATGGGGTTCTTGAGACATGGGTTCTTGATTTGATTTATGATTATATCTTTATTTCACTTTGCTCCAAAAAGCTTAAGAAGACCTATATAAACTCTTTAGTCCATTTTATTTCTAGGCAAATCTATAAAATAAATGAAGTTCAGGAACAGTCACTGAATCACAGTGAGCTTCATGGGTGATCAAAAACTTGGTCTTCCTGGTTCAAACCCAATCTTTTTATATCATTTTGGCTTTCATGACATAGGATTATTGAACTATTTTTAAAAGTATTTGTGCGTTTGTATATACATGCAGGTTCTCTCTCTCTCTCTCTCTCTCACACACACACACACACACATAAGTATATGCCTTTGAATAAATCTTGACTCCTGGCAACTGCCTGAACAAGTGCTGCAGTTCTCTTGACAAGAATTTTGCAGGTAATTTGCCACTCCACTTTCTTAGGACTGAGGGAGAGTGAATGGCCCAAGGCCTCTCAGCTGGCTTTATGCCTAAGGCAGGACTAGAACTCACCATCTCCTGTGAGGATGTCAGGTAGTAAGAGAAACAGAATGGCCCCAATCACCCCACTCCATATGACATCTTTTCAGAGCATATTGATAATTACCACAGAGGTGTAGTAATGGAACATAAAAATTCCTGGTGTGATTTAGGACAGGGGTCTCCAATCTTGGCAACTATAAGCAACTATAAGCCTGGTGGGCTTCAACTCCCAGCTTTGCTGGCTGGGGAATTCTGGGAGTTGAAGTCCGCCAGGATTAAAGTTGCCAAGGTTGGAGACACCTGATCTAGGAGGACTTTCAGGCAGTTTCCATTTTTTTTTAAATATTCATTGTTTCTCAACCACTTGTGAGAGAGAGAAAAAAAATCTCCAAACCTGAGAAAGTGGGATGCTTTCAAGAAGAATGCTGAATGGCTAGGACAGGAAAAAAACAATCCTGGCTGTATCCATCACATAGTGACTTCTTCTGTAGCATCTCTGCCAGTTTTGGTGCTAGGCTTTAATATTACCAACCTAAGGGGGAGGGGAAAGACAAGGTTCATTGTTAATGAACAAAAAACAAAAAAGAACATCCTTTAGGATCTATTTGTTTGAAGTGCTTCCCCATAAAGCCAATCTGGATTTCTTTTCAGCTGCAATTCACAAATTTAATTATTTTTAAAAGGGTTTCTTTAATCTGTAAATGAGCAATACTACCTCTCCCATGTCTTTGCTAGTAAAACATGTATTCTTTATAATCCCTAAATTACTCTGGATGCCAAGAAAAATGTTTTTTGCTTCAAAGACAGTTCTCGTCTTTTTATTGATCTTCAGAAAATGTTGGAAAATATTTCCACTTAATGTTGTTACCACTCTTCAATTTCCTTTAAAGACAGCTATATTTATATGATGTTGGCTTTTACTGAGAACTTTCAGAAGTGCATGAACATCAGGTCAAGAGCTTCTGAAGAGCAATTTGGGCAGCTACTCAATTTATATTTTTCATTTTAGCCAAGTATAGACTTTATTTTAGTCAAACAAAAAATAGAAATAGGAAGGAAGGAAGATTAGTATTTGAAAAGGCAAATGTTAGCTAGATATCTACTGTATAATAAACACAAATTATTCATGGAAATCTGACTAATTCACAAACTTAATTTAAGAAATCTTAAACTGTGTCATAGAGAGAGAGAGACAGACAGACAGACAGTATTAAACTAATGTTGCATATGAGTAAAACTACAGTTTTTCTGAAGTAAAAAGCAACTTATTTTTAGGTGTAGACTGGTAGCTTTATAAAATAGTTACTTCTTATTCAAGAAGTAAGAAGCCCTTTCTAAAATACTGTCTATCGCAGCCTTGCAAGCAATCAAAGCCATTATTTTTTAAAAGTGTTTCACACAATAAATCAGAATACATTTAAATTTCCTGAAATATTTAACATAGCACTTCTACAAAGATATGTGAAGATAAGGATTTTGCAATGAGTTCTGCTTTAGCAGAACTCTGAGCTCACTGTATTTGTGATAACCAGAGCTGGTTATCAATCAATCAGAATAGAGCTGGAAGGGACTTTGGAGGTCTTCTAGCCCAACCCTCTATTCAAGCAGGAGACCCTATACCATTTCAGTCAGGTGGCTCCAGTCTTGGACCTCCAGTGATGAAGCACCTACAATTTCTGAAGACAAGTAGTTCCACTGGTGAATTGTTAACTGGGGGTAGGCAGAGATTCTGTAACAAGTACTCCCTCCCCCCCACCTCCAATTTTTTTTTTCTGAGAATCTCATACTTCATTTTTATGACTGGTTTTCAAACCATCAAATTGAGATGAAATGCTTGAAAATGTGTTTAAAATCCTTTGGGTGAAATTTTCAAAGCTCTCCATGTCTCCATAACTGGCAGATACTGAAATAACTCTGAAAAGGGGGAAATTGCGCAACCCTGCATATTCTTGTAATTAGAAAAGAGGGCTTTTCTCGGTACAGAATTTAGTGCAGGGTATAGACATTGCAAATAATATGCCACACTGTACAGAAATCAGGAGGTAAAGTTTAACGTTATGCAAATACACAGAAAGTACCAAATAAAGTGCAAAATAATTCATATCTAGTTCAAATAAAAACTGTATTTTAAGCATTGACAAGCCATTAAATATCCATCTCAGGCTCTCAAAATAGAAATCATTCTGAATCCAGAACTAGTTAAAGGGGAAATGTGATTAATAAGGGACTAAATGGGAACTGATTTCCCACTTTTTAAGAAGGTTTTCTTTTCTTTTTCCTGGTTATGTATAATGATAATGGGAGACCAGAATTTTCTTGTTTCAATGTCCCTGGTTCTAAGTGGCAGGCTTATCTGAGCATTTCCTTTTTATAAACAAGTTGAATAATTTATTATGTGCAATCAAGCCAATATTGGCAATTTCTGACAACTGTAGTCCCAACATACATGGAAGCTGTTATGCAGGCATTCTAATCCCTAACCTGAAGAAATTCCCCTCCTGACCTCCCTGCTAAGGTCGCACGTATATTATGATATGAAAGCATCAGCCGTGACATTCACAGCCATTGGAGATAAGAGAGTGGCATGTGTGATGCTCTTTCCTTGAAAGAAAAATCTATACAGCCCAGAAGGCTCAGAACTGAATTTGGGCTTAAAACTGCTATGATAAACAAGAGAAATAGCAATAGCACTTACATTTATGAACACTGCTTCATAGTGCTTTACAGCACCTTCTGAGCGGTTTACAATGCCAGCATTATTTGCATATTGCCCCCAACAAACTGGGTCCTCATTTTACCCACCTTGGAAGGATGGAAGGTTGGGTGAACCTTCCTGGCTGTGGGTAGAGTTTGTCTGCAATATTGCATTCTAACCACTGTGCCATGATGGCTCTTAGAGACATGCATGTAAGGATGTCTATTTCCTAATTCCTGCCCGGCAAAAGTGCCTACACAGTGTGTCAGTGTAGTCAATCAAGTAAAGACATGTCATGGTCCCATCAGAGCCCAGTTCGGAAGAGGAGTTGGGACCGTCTGATGGGGATGGCACATCTCCCTTGGAATGTTTGGAGAGGCCAGGGGCTGAGGACAATGCTCTCCCAGGCCCTCAGGCATTGGGGGAGGGAGCTGACTGGATGGAGAACTCCCATAACAGCATTATACAATTGCATTTTAGCATCCATTCCAAGATCTGAAATGATACATCAATTCCATGCCCTTAATTGCAATCCATATGCTAACACCTATATGATGGATGTATCTTTATCCTTTATTGATGTAAAAGTTTGCCTTGCATCTTGGATACACCATTCCTGATTTAACCAGTCCTGTGCAATATGGACAACACTGAACTGAATTCAAATTGGCTGTGGTAGATATGAAGACACCCTCTATAAGTGGGGCAAAAAAACTGAATTGTGACTGCAGGGCGAAAAAACAACTAGCCAACATATTGTGTCAGTGCCCCAAAATAGTCTGTGACAAATGAAGCAAAAATGTATCTGCAATCTAGACATATGTTTCTAATATTTTATATTTTGTATTTTTATCTGTTTATTTTAATTGAAATATGAATATGCCATACGATAAATAATAATAATTTTTGTCCTTACATCAAAGTGGCCTCTAGTCACATGCAAAGAAGTTAAAAATCTCATTAACCAAATTAAGTATGGTAAAGCCCCCGGGAATAACATCTCCCACGAGCTAATTAAATCCAATTCAAATTGGTGGATCCCTTTATTGGCTTCCTTCTTTTCACACATTAACCACACAGCTAAGATTACAGGTCTGGGGGAGGGAGCTATAATTGTTCCCTTATGCAAAGAGAGTAATAGGAATGCCCTGGTTAATTATAGACCAAGTAGTTTATTGAACATGATTACCAAACTATATGCCAGGTACCTATTCACTAAACTTCAAACTTGGATAAGATGAGGAAATAATTGATCCTGAGCAAGCAGGGTTTTAACCAGGATGATCCACTGTAGACCACTGCCCAGTACTTCAACATTTAGCAGACAAATATACAAATATGGAATCCTACTATAATGAGGAACAATTAGTAATCAACTATGACAAATATATATTTTTTTAGTTTTTTCCAACAAAAGACAAAAGCAAAGTGGACAATTGTTTCCCATAAATTAGAATACATCAAATGTTTTAAATACTTGGGCGTAATAATTCAGACCTGTAGGAAATTATCAACTCAGGTAAATTATGCCACTTCTACTGCCCAAAACAACATACTAGCAATAACTAAATTTTAAAAGCAATAAGGGGCAAATTACATTCTGGCAGCAATCAAACTCTTATGGTTAAAACAGTTGCCCAAGAAGTAGTCCTTGACTTACACCACAATTGGGATCAGAATTTCTGTTGCTAATTACAATCATGTTACCGTGGGGGGTGGTACAATGGTCCTAACTTTCAGGATGAGTTGTAAATCATTTTTTCTGAGACCATTGTAACTTTGAACTGTTGTTAAACAAAAGGTCAAGGATACACACCTAAGGGGCTTATGAATTTTCTTAAGAGTTAGTTTGGTACCCCAAAATGCACCCCTAATGCAGTCTTGAGGCTTAAAGCTAATGAGCCAAATATTAAGGTTCAGGTCTGGACCAAGATTCTAATCTCAGGACTCATAACCATGGTTGACCCTACACATGTGATGCTTCTGCTGCTGTTAGACAGCTACCAATCTACTATACTATACCTGTGTAGAAGAACTTTGCACTCTTTGACTCTCTGCTGAATATTTAGGACAATTAAGTCTTGAAGAGGCCTAATCAACAGTAAAAGAAAGAATTAGGGACATTGATTGCCAGGATGATTATCACCAGTGAGGTCAAATCCTTTTATTAAACATTAGACAGATGCAAGCCTTCTACTGCAGTGTATCTATACAATGTAACCCGATGCAAATATAGACAGGAAGATTTCATGGGACTTCTTATTTACAGAGACTTTGTCCTTGTAGATCCAATGTGGGAGAAACTCTCACTCATGTTCTCAAATGGTGTCCTTTTTATGATGCCCCAGCATGTGCTTTGATCTTCCCAATCATTTCTACCTTTTGGGTCACACTGAGAAATTTTATGTTTATTGGTTTTTAAGGGATGCTAACTCAATGCTACTTGAGGGATGCTAGCTCAATGCTACTCAAATATCTTCATCAGGTAATTGCATACAACTTTTAATTAGAGAAGTTGTTTTATTTCTCTTTTCTACTCTAAAGGCTGGTCAAAGACTGTAAGAAAGATTTTGATTTGAAGCTAAATTGTTACTTTCAAGATGCTATGGTATCTGGCTTCCTTGCACCCAGAGAACATTCAGTACTCAGACGGGAATCTACAGGCTGCTTAACCAAAAGGTTTTGTGCCTATCAGTGGGAAAGATGCTTCTATAGAAAATCTGTTCGGCTGGACATGCATATCAAGCTAATGGAAAATGTTATCTTTGACCATAGCTGAAACACAATGATCAATATAATTTAAAAAGCACAGCGTGACAAAAATGACAGGACTATAA